CAGTCGACTATACACTAACGAGTGAAATTTCTTGCATTGTAAAATTCCCAAGGAATTTTAACGCTACTATGTCACTAAGATAATATAACTTAAGGTCTACCTCGGCAGGCGCTGCCAGATGCCAGAGGTATTGAGTTATCCAACTTTTGGTTGTATAATTTCTCGGACTGGGACATTCGTTGGCTAGGGAAAAGTCTCATAGTTTTTGGTCACCCGAGAAGAAGATCCCGCATGCTAACCATCAAGAGCCACTGGTATTTTTCTTCCGTGGTGAATGCTTTGCGACCGAATTGATGGGCTGTCGCATCCTACATTAATAGAATGAAGAAATCTTACTGCCCTCGCGTCAAATATGAAATCTAGGAGTAATACTGGTACAGATGAGCTTTTGCGTCAGTGGGACGTGGAAATGGAGTGGGAGCTACACCTGTCACCGTCTTGATTTTGGTTCAAGTATTCGGTGTTTCTGAAATTTCACTTCTAGAAGTAAAGCAAGGTTCTGATGGAGGACCCAGGACGCTGCTCCCACTAATTCTTTAGCTTACCCTGGTTATCGTAACTGGAAAGCTGTCATTCCAATCAGCATCGATAATCCATCACGTATTGTGGGCTTAGAATACGGTAGGATCTTTGTCGGGAAGAAATCTGTGTCTGGTTTTCTACCTATGAAGATATAATTGTTTGAGCTATCAGTCTTTTACCCAAAATGTTACTAACTGTGCAGAAATAAAATAGTTTTTAAAGTGCATTTACAGGCTGAGGCCATCTCAACTGAAATATAGATTCTGGGGTTGGTCTCAAACAACCAAAGGATTACTGGTAAGCTCTTTAGGTATTTGGATGAGAAAATCAGCGACACAGCTAGCTTTAACCTCAGGTCAGAATGTGCAAACTAATTGAAACAGACAACATCCGGATTGGGTTGATTAATATTGAAATAGAGATTTCTCAGTTTTTGAAAGTCTCGGGGTCACTCATGAGACAACCACTTTTAGTTTTACCGTATTTTTCACCCAAATATCTGTTGAGTTGTTACAATGGAAATGTACATTTAGTTGACACATACTCGTACATTGCGTACAACTTGTGTAGTGGTGTACAACCTATCGTTTACTATTGCAGAGCGTTAATAGTATGTTGTTGCAACTATATTTGAACATCTACGATACGTATTCTAAATATTTACTTCGACGGGGATGCAACATAATTACATAATCAAACGAACTTACCTGTAAGTGATGTTCGATCTTAATTATGTGGAGTCCTCGTCGTAGTAAATAGCTCCCTCGATCCCTATGTATCACCCAATTGTTGCAAAAACTTGGCTTTGAAGAAAATGAATATTTACGATATTTTCGTCTAGTATGATTAAACTATATATAGCGTAGCAGAATTAACAGAATTTGTGTGGCGGGATCATGGATACGATCACTGACAGGTTGGTGACAGCTAGACGAACAGGGCTATATTCTTAGGGCCCTATCGTCAGTAGTTCCTACAATTGTATAATGACTTTATGGCCTCCTTGACTTCCATAATGTCACGTCTCCTTCAGTATGGTACATGTGTGTACTGCTTTAGATTTCTGGCATGCTGACAGGTCTGACTATATGTTATGTTGACGTTTAAGAAATTTTATACACATGAATCGAAGGCAGAAGCATAATTCATTATTTTCTTGCAAATAGTGTTGATCAGACAATAATAATTCCCTACATTGAAAAATTTCTACAAGCTGTGGTACCTTCAGATCCCATATCTGGTATCAATGATCTGAAAATGAATAATTTAATGCAAACGAATGTGTATGTATATATAAAAGCCCAAAAGCTTACAACCAAGCTGTTCCCTTGATGACGGTAAGTAAGTTACAAAATTAAACATTGCATATTCATATTATTTTCTTATCGCTTTTTTTCAGATGTGATTCATTCCCACTGACGTTATGAGATGCTGGTTGCTCCATTGATAAGAAGCATTGCATGACAAGTGCAATGATTGCATTGTCGATATCGGAGACGCTTTTCCACAAATCACTGTGGGACTCTGGATTGCGAAGATGTGTCAGATATTATTGACTATTGCTATTTTAGGGTGGTCGACATGCCATGGTCATGTAGGATTACCAAAAATAAAGAATTACAGATAGTAAACATAAAAATACAGTTGCAGCATGAAGCAAAATTAGAAAAACTTTATGACATAAAATTCCGTAACTAATTATAGATTGGAAAATAAAAGAAAATTGTGACTCATCAAGGGAATTATTTTCCTGTTAAACAAAATCCAAACACTTCAACCAAATAGATTAGCAGAAAAGAACTATTATTTCGAAAATGGTAGGTACCTAGAAGTCAGACTGGGTTAAGTCCTAATACGTAGTTTTAAGATAATTGCATTGCATTCATAATTCACTTATCATTACAGGTAGATAGATGCTGCAAGTATCAAATTAAAATTCGCAACTTTATCATTACTCCTGTTTCAAAGGTTAAGAATTCTGAGTTATACGCCAATATGCAGCCAATAAATGTTCTGCCAGATGCTCACAAAGTCTTTGAAGAAATTATTTACGAACAGATCATCGAATTTATTGAGGGAAATAAAATGTTAACCAAACTTCAAGCTGGATTCAGGAAGAAACACTCGACCAAAACGGCAATACAAATGGTCTTAGAGGACTGGAGGAGATGTATAGACAATAGGAAACATACAGTAACAGTGTTTTTGGACTTCAAATGGTATTTGAGATTATTGACAGGGATAAATTACTCACAAAATTTGCGTCACTACAGATTTAAAGGATCTGTTACCAGAATTGGATCTACATTATCAAGGTCATAAAATATTTCTGTTCGTGTACCACAAGGTAGTAAATTAAGTCCACTAGACACTTGTAATATTTTAGACTATTGTAAAATTCCGATATTTGCAGATTATACATTAATATACATATCAGATGAAAATATAGACACTGCTTTACAAATGCTAAATTCTGACTTGGCAAGTATCATAAATTGGCTAAATTTAAATACACTAAAGTTAAATACTTCTCAAACAAAATGTATGCTAATAGAGAAATACCTAAAGGAAAATACTATCCCAATTAGGATAAATGGTGCATATTCCAAAAAAATACTTTATAGTACAATTATTTTACCGCATTTACTATATTGTGATCCAAGACGATTTTATACTTTAATGAGGAAAGATCCGAGGCAGCTCACGTAAGATCCAGGTAAATCAAGGAGACCTGGAGCAATTTTTGTCACCAGCTGATGGACGCTGATTCTAAGGATCTCTCAATTATAATTTCATTCGTTCAGATACAAAAAGATATGAGAAAATTGAAGGAATTCTGGGGAGTTCCATGCAATTTCAGGGGGGTTCAAGAAAACCTGAGCGAAGGAGATATTTTGCTCAAATAAAATACGCTTCAGGTACTAACAAATGAATAATCGTGTGACCCGCGCATATATCTGTCGATTAAAAATGATATGGTAACAGTGCTTACCGTGCCGTTAGAATACGTCTATTAATCACGAAATACACTCTAATAATTATCTTTCAGCGTTGACATGCGATCGGACCATTCATTTGTTTTCTACCCTGATGCGAATTTTCCAGCAGCTTACAGTGAAACCCAGATAATGGAGAATCGATTAAAGGGTTCATATCCACGTAACATTTGACCAGAAACATTCACCATAAAAAAGAGGGTGAGAGTAGTAGTAGTAACTTAAACTCCATTGCGGTTAAAAAGACGCATCAAAAAATAACAAATTTTTCGTTAGGATATCAACAAATTACACCTATGCCAGTGCAAAACGCTCGCCGTTAGAAAATTACTAACTCAGCTGGTGACGAGTCCTGCATTCTGCCCTCGCGTTTTTTCGAAAATGAGCAGTTTGCTGGATTTCTCCTTGATCATTTACTGCGTTCCCTAAAGTTTCTCTGTTCAGGGAGGACAATTCAAATCTGAGGCAGTTATGATGACGGAAACTCGTCTAGGGGATAGAATTTGGCAGCAACCAAAGTCATCCGTTCCTAAAATAGATTTCAACAAGAAGATCAAGGTCACCGAAACTTATTAGGAAAGTCCACTGCGCACTGCCGCGTGGGCAAAAACCTAAATAACGAGGCACCGTGACTGCTACAAGAACTTGACTGATACACTGTTAATCCGATTTTTGAACTGTTTAAGGTTAGAAGATCCGGAAAGAGTCTCCTCATGCAGAATTTTCCGCAATCTAAACAACCTAGGAACAAAGAAGCGGTCATACCGACTAGTTCTGGATGTAAAAAGTTCCACAGATCTAGAATACTAGACAGAAGCCTGGCGGGTTCACCCGACAAGCGCGGCGGCATCATGGAGGAGAAAAGTCCGTTGGCATATATAGAAGCGGAGCCAGATCTCCGACCGCCTGTAGGTGTGGAGGGGACCGAGACAATCCGTTAAAGAAGTGTAATCGATCGGTGGGATAGCCCGAGTGTGAACAGTGAAGTCGAAGTCGCCCCACACCAAACAAGTGAGGCTTGAGGTACTTGAGGCTGGGCCTTATACCGCCCTTGTACAGAGTGAGAAGGTTATGCGGAGAAAAATACTCCTTAGCCATAAGCAAACAAAAAGCAAGCTGACATCGAATCTAGGGACGCTCTTTAGAGTTGATTTCTAATGACCCATGTCAGAGATTTTACAGGTAACAAGCTTATTGGTCCATCAGTTACCAATTGATAAAATCCAAAGTAGTAGTCGGATTTTAGTTCAATTATATAATACTCAAAAGTCTACCGACATACACTATTATTTAATAAATAATTTTCCCCAAACACGGATGTGTTCTAGTTTGTCCTGAGTATGAGCGGACTTAATCAATTTTTCATAAAAAGCTGTAGTGAAAAACAAAATAACACGTCCAGTTGCGTGATTGCGGGAATTGTATGCAATATAATTGGCTATTTTACAGTTGCACAAGCAATATTATCGAGGGAAAATTACGATGACGGTATCGGAAAAATGTGCAGCATTAAAACGAAAAGCCAAAGTCTACAGAACAGGAAAAGTAAAAAAACTCACAGACGTTCGGTTTTCGCAGAATCATCACGTAACCAATTCCAGAAATTTTGAATTGTGTCAATACGATAGTGTTTAAGACTAAACTAAATCGTGTGCTGAATCCCTTGCTCGAAACAGTAATTTCCTAAATGATCACTTTTAGGTTTCACGAAGATACTATATGGAATTCTGCCACTTTTGAACCAACTTAAATGCCCTTTTTTAATATTGAATCATTATTAATGTACACTCTATATTAGATTATATTAACTATCTAGAATTTTAATTCAGGCTAGTAATAATACAGTTCATAGATAAATACACTGCATTAAATATCATCTTTACTAATTTTCAATCCATCCTCCCTGTATTTAAAAAAATACTGTAACAGATGCTTCAAACTTACAAATATTTTTGCGGTTTGATACTGGGTAGTACCCAAAATGATTATTAATCGAACCCGCACTCCCAGCTACGGTATGCGGCTTGCATTTTTTTTTCTGAAAAAGCTAGAAACAGGTGGTAGGCCACCACTCTCTTATCAAAAATCTTAAAACTCATTATACCAAATACCACAGTCTTTCATACAATAGTAGAAATTGATATAAGAATAGGTCAAAATCAAAAATAGTATTAAGTTAACAATGAAATAGAAAAAAGAAAGAAAAAGACGTTTATTGCGCGTTCCGAGATGGACCTCCGACGAAAATGATTATTGAAGCGCGAGCTTTTGTAAAAACGTGTTAGTAAGACCAGCTGAGCTGTAGCCATTAGTGTTACATTCTTTCAAAACATCATCATATAGTATGAACTAACATTTATAGCCTGATGCTAGGTAAGAGGTGAAATAATACTGAGCTGGTTGCTGACAAACTATTTCCGTAGTAGTAGACTTATTTTTGTAAATGTATGTACGATAGCCACAATATCTCATTGAGTGTAACAAGTTTTCGGCGTCGTGATGATGACGGTGATAATTGGTCTATACGACTTTTATTACCGATTTCAAGGGCCCTGACCATGTATTGCGCAGTGGCTTGATCCTGCTTCCTCGCTACAGGGGATGGTCGTAGGAAGGAGCCGTTTTGACGATAACGTGAAATCGCTATCTGCAGTCTGTACACGTTGATTAAGCTATCGCGATAGAGAACATGTGCAGGATTGAAACGAAAAAGCAATTTTGTCAGTGACAGACATTACGAGAATTCGTTGCGGCGCTATTCAGAAAAATCCCAACCGCCCGTGTCCGTCGCTTCCGCCATGCCTGCCTCACTTGCTGACGCATACCTATCTACAAATTCAAAAGTCCCAAAAGCCAACTTTTTTTCTCAATTTCAATCAATGTATTATTAGAGGCTACTATACTAATAAAATAATCAAAATATACACGCTGAGTTAAAAAACAATAGTATTTCTAGGATAGAAAGTGCATCAAAAAACAATATAACGAAGCACGCGTTGGGGCTGGTATCTTCGTGTCGAAGCTAAAGCTTGGAATCAGCCACCCTAGGAGCCTAGGCATCAATTTTTCAGGCAGAGCTATATGCTAAGGAACTGAGGCACAGGATTATACACATTTTTTCAGATTTTGAAGCTACGCTTGATATACTTGACAACATGGAAAGTAGTGTGGAATTGTAAAGAAGCTCTTGGTGGCATAGGAGATAAGGGAATAAGGTGCGAACCATTTGGATACCAGGACATGCAGGTATGAAGGGACAGGAGACAGCCGACATGCAGGCAAAGAGTGTGGCCAACACACCCTTCATATGCTCTGAGCCAGGTAGCAGGATCGCGTACAATCTGGCTAAACAAATAACCTCTGTAAACTCTGCAGAGATGGAAGGAAATATCCATTAACACTGGGAGGGATTAACAGGGGTAACCCTTGCGAAGGCAATCATGCCCATCCTAACAAAAAAGGTAACAGACTCTCTGCCGCGGCTAAACAGGAATCGTCTTGAAGCTTCAGTGAGACTGTACTTAAGTCACTGTGATTTGCGTCACCGCATGAGCAGGCTGGCCAAGGCGGAAGAAGCTGAGTGCAGACTGTGCATCAAAGGAGAGCATGTTTTATGCAGATTCATACAATTGTCAGAGTCAGGTACAATACAGTTGCGGGAGTATTACTCCAAGTAGAAGACCCGAACGATATTTGTCCAAGTCGAATGATTTTCTCAGGAGGTCGGAATAACTTAGAGGAATATAAATCAGTGTAGCCTAAGTAATGTACGCTGCCGCGACGCGACAAGTTTGTATATACAAATATAGCCGGAATTAGCTGATATAGCCGAGATATATAGCATGGGCATATAAATGCTCGCTTAGATGCTTACTTTGAAGGTACATTTGGTAGACAACCAAATAATCTTATATAGTTAGTTCAGAGTACAGCCACACAGTGGCGCTGACGCTTGATTTTCCCGTTGTTCATTTTGATAGTCCAGTGTTCAATGCTTTAACGTTGATGTATTCGTAATTTTGAATTGAAAGTTGGAGTTTGTGCAGAGCCGGTGTTTTTATTAGTTTTGTGTCGGTGATACTGATATCTATCCCACGGATGGCGTTACAAACTTAGTGGCTAACCTTAGCATTACAGTTACCCTTATAAAGTATGTGTCATGTGTATACTGACAACTTGCATACGGATTTCGATAAGACCGGGAACTGACAGTTCAATATCTGAATGTCAAGATTACCACTCAGTCACAATTTTACCGTTCTTGTGTGCTACACAGGTAGAGGTGTAGTCCATAACTTTAATTTTTTTATACCACACATGCAGATGGCTGAATACCAGGGCCCCGCGGCAGCTATGAGGAGTTTCAAAAAACTTGGTTAATCAGATTTTTGAACAGCATAAGGTTAGTAGAGCTGGGAAAATCATCCTGCGACTCGACACGAATGGGAAAACTGTGTCCGAGTGGTGATTTCGACATACAGACATTAAACTGTAAGCCCTCGATTCCAACAAATCCCAAAGCTTCTTCTGTCTTAGTGACATCACTGTAAATTGTGAAGACATCAAACCAATCCTTCATTTGACAGTCCTGTATCTACCGGAGCTCCTATTGTCCATCCGAGCCATTTTTTGTGAACAAAAGTATCCGGCGTGTCTTTTCGTTTACCGTTTAACTTTGGATTTGTTATTGTGTCGAGCGCTGTCCGGCAGGGCCGTGTGGGCGTTGGCGGTGCCGGAATAAAAATATCAATGACCACCAGAGCGACGGTTCGGTTTTCCTGGCTCTAGTTGGATACCGACGGCTCCGGCTGTCGCGGCGACGTTATTGGGTGTCGCCGCTCACATAACTGTCACGCGGTCACCGCAATGCCATTGCAGGGCGTCGTGCGTTTATGCAAAGAAAACTCTGTCGCTCTGGAGAATCGAACAAGCTCATTCGTTTTTACTTCGACATTGAACGATATAATTTTTCACCGATCCAAAAGTAGTAAGGTACAGTTCTCACTAAAAACAACACACCAACCCCTCGACACGAGTTGCATTCTTTTGAGGTTGCTTTTGCATTCTCATCAAACCACGTGCCAAACAACGGTTTTGGATAAAAAAACTGACTATGTACTTACTAATAAAAACGCGGAATATGATTAAATTATTATGGTTCTGAAAGGTCTGATTAGAACAAAACGCGTATGAATATTGTGATTCCCAAATGAAATCTACCCAGAATAGTACACCAGCAAAGAGTTTTTTTATTTGCCAAAGACTTCCAACAATAAAAACCAAATACATGTGGAATGAACAATCTGCGGTACACAACTAACAATTATGACTCCTGTTGGGGTTGGAAGAACGTTTATACAGTATTCTTTTCACAGCATTACAGGTTACAAGAGCATAAGCAAAGCATTTTTAGAACAGCTATACAAGCGGAATGGGCGCACCTAATTAGCTTCAAGATGTTGTATAAGGTGTGCAGATAACTGTTCTACAATGAACCTTTGTATCAGTGAAAGGTTAAGCTTTTGTTAACTATAGAACCATTGTGTTACACCATTTGTTTTATTGCAACTAAACTATTTTTTATATACTGTGTACGTAGGCGAAGTGAAGAATCTTTTCAAACTAACACATTAAATTCATCTTGTTTACTGATATATTGGCTATTGCGAATTTCGTACACAAGTAGCTATATGATAAGCTTCTACACTGTGATGTAGGGCTATTAAATATAAATTTTCTTGTGATTATCGTACAAAGTAGTGACGTAATTTTTTACGGGCTTCGTATTTGGATCCTATTACAACATTGATCAAAGATATGTCTAGATTTTTAAGATGAAAATCTGAACTTATCTATTTTAAACCTTCAATAGAGGACTAACTTTTTTACCAACTATGGCGGGTGGTTATGTCTAATCATGGCATCCTCCATATTGTATTTGGTTTATTAGAACATTTTGGTGTTATCTGCAAGTGTTATACAGCAATTTATAAGATCTCTGAAATGAAATATGAGCAGAGTCGAATGCTCTACTCAGAATTTGTACCAGATCTACACTATCTGTTTCAAAAATTTATAAAACTTTTACAACGAATACTCATGCGCTGCTCGTATTGAAGAAGAAAAATAATGGTAATGGCGTTTGACCTAAACATATGACAGCAGAAATTTAGGTTATGGTGAAGTCGTATATATCTATATATTGAGCAACAAGTGTATGCCGAGCACAGCAATTTTGTACTATAAAAGTTGTAATATTGTTGCAGATGTATAGGCTTCAACAGTTACCAAACGACAGTTGTATAAATGTTTCCATTAGGAGCATCTTATTGCCTAAGGTAGTAATTTTAAAATTTTAAAGTCCTGCGTTTGTTGTATAAATGTTACCATGAATACCACAACACAACCATTTTGACTACCGAGCTACTATGCCGTATAAAGTTTTATTAAACGTTTGAGCAAGAGCTCTAAATTTATCCTATAAGGTGTTGTATAAGTATGCTACAAGATTGTCTTATACACTTCACTTTAGAGCAAATACGTTG